CGCGCAGCGACGACTGCGGCCGCGCAATCGCAGCGACGCGGGCTCGGGCCCCGACGCTTCCCACTCGAAAGGAAGTCGTGGCCACTGGGCACGTCCACGTTGTTCTTCTTGCACGTGTCTCTGCAGAGCTTGACTGCCTGCTTGGGCGCGCCCGCGCCGTCGACGCTCCTCCTCCGCCACCTCCTTCTCCCTCCCCCTCTCCTCCTCATCATCTCCCTCCTCCTCATCATTTTCCCCCTCCTCATGATTGTCCTCCCCCTCCTCCTGCCGTCCATTCTTCCACCCCTCCCCCTTGTCTTGCTGCTGCCCCTCCGCCACCCCCTCCTCCTCCGCGAAGTGCCCCCGCGCGCCCCCCTCCGATGGAAGCGCTAATGGCCTCCTTCCGCGCGGCCTCCTTTGTCTTCGCGCTGCAAGGAAATCTTTGGCTCTTCTGGAACGGCGTTTCCACAAATCGGATTAGGAAATTGCCCCCGGTGGTTCTCGTCGCGCAAGCGCGGCAGCTTCGCGGGGGCAGCAGCAGCAGGCCTCTTGCATTCAGGGGCCTCGCCATGCCCACCCGCTGACATCTTAGCCCCCTTGCGTTCATGGGCATCGCCACGCTCGCCTTCTGCCTGCGTGGCCTTTTTGCGTTCCGACTTCAGGCTGTCGTAAGTCTCTGTGATCATTTTCGCAGCTTCCTCCACGCTGTCTTGCTCGGCTGCCATGCTGGGCGTCAATGGTCGCTGCTGCTGCGCGCGGGGCTGCTACTGCTGCTGCTGCCGCCGATGGCCCGTCTGCCGCTGCTGCTGCAGCGGCAATTGCCAGCGCACTTGGCGGCGGGGCTGCTGCTGCTGCAACTGGCCCGTCTGCCGCCGCTGCTGCAGCGGTAATTGCCAGCGCACCCAGCTGCGCAAGTGGCTGCAGCTTGGGGGATGCACCTGGCTGCGGGGCTGCGCCTGGCTGCGGGGCTGCCAGCGCACCTGTCTGCGCACCCGGCGACGCCCCTGGCGATGCGCCATACCGCAGCGGCGGATGCGCCGCTGCAGATCCCTGGCCAGCCACTGCGCTCTGGACTGCAGCGCTAGCCGCATCGAACAAGCATGGATGTGGCGCTGCCGCTGCCGAGGGTTGCCCACTGGGCTGCCCGGCGAAATGCAACCTAAAAGTTGACGGCGTTGTGGCCAACAGCTGGATCTGCAACAACATCGGCGCATGGCTCGGCGTCGTCGATGTTACCGCTTGCGAGACCAGCGCGGGCGTCGAGCACTGGCTCGGCGGCTGTCGCTGCTGGCGAGGGGAAGGCCAGGCTGCTGCCGCAGTCGACGCAGTCGACAGCCGCCCGCCGCTCTTCGCGTCGCAAGGAATCGCAGGCCCAGACCGTTGCGAGAAAGGCGCGCGATGGCGAATCTCGGTGTTCTGCTTCAGGAAATACCAGCCGACGATGTCGATATCGAACGGCTTCGGCGGGCGCAAACTACACATGCGCACGCGTGGAGCGTGGCGGTCGATATGCAAGCTGCCCGGCTTCATCGGCTACTCCACGATGATAGGCATGGGGTCGGGCGAGATACTGCGGTCACCCTCTGCGCATACAAGGTTCCGACGGCTAGCGTGTTGAAATTCGAGCAACACGTTCGGACCCCCTAAAGGCATGGAGTCCCATGCTGACTGGGGCAAGAACTCGCGGAGCGCCTCCCAGTCCGGAGTGCCGACGACATAATTCAGGGATTCGCCATCAAAAACAATCGACGAGATGGCGGCGTTCAGGGATGCCTGATCGCCTTCGGGAAACCTTGATCCAGCGATCGCAGCCAGAATTGGCTGCAAGTCCTCTGGCGACAGCCTTGTCCTCTTGAGTTCTTTCGCCAACTGGCTCGCCTGGCCGCGCGAGGCTGCAGCTGCCTGAACGGGGTCAACGGTCGACTCCAAAATGGAGCCGGCTGCGGCGGTTCGCCGCAGATTCGCTTCAACGCCCACCCAGCTGACTTACTCGAGCCTTCGCGGGCCACGGCCATGGATGAAAACATGAACGGCAAGGGGGCTGTTGCGGCGCAGCGCACGAGAGAGGCCACGAAGCGGTCAGACCGCTGAAAAGAGGACCCAGAGCAATAACCACATTGCGGCATATTCAAGAAACAGTGCAGGGCAAAGCGGACAGGCCGCGGCAACGCCCAAGGGCAATGCACAAGTTGCGCGAATCACCTAACAATTCATAAGTAAAGTGCTCAGGCCGCTGGAACGCGCCAGAGCGACATACAAGTTGCGTGCATCGGACAGTAATGATAATCAAAGCGGCCAAGCAGCTGTTACGAGCAAGGGCGCTGCGCACATTACATGAGTCTGACCAGAAATGGGCGAAGCGGTTAGACCGTTGGGGTGTTAGGAACATTGCGCGGCTCAGACAAATGCAGGAGCGGTCCAGCCGCTGTAAGGCGATAGTGCGTGAGAAACAAGCAAATAATATGCAAAGCGGTCTGGCCGCTGTGGAAAGTAATGGTAGGAGGAGGAGGGAGAGATCGAAGAGAGCAATCCCCCCCCCGCGGGCGGCTCGCAGCTCAGGATGTGGAAGCCGACCAAGACCAGGAACACGAACGCCGCCTCCTCCTCCTCCTCCTCCTCCTACTCCTCCTCCTCCTCCTACTCCTCCTCCTCTTCCTCCTCCTCCTCCTCCTCCTCCCCCCCTCCTCGCAACATTCTGCCGGCGGCGGCTACATTTGTGCAGGCTATACTTTTGTAGCTGTTTTGAGCGCTTTTGTTTCTGGGAGAATCAAACAAATCTGATGACTACAACCTCACGCACGTTGGTGTTATATTATAAAAAATGAAAAGGTTTTTAACTGATGAAAGCAATGCAGAGTAGTGGACCATACTAAACGTAATAAAAAGTAATACAACTATTGAACATGAGAGTGTAAAGTAATGAAAACTGAAAAATACAAAACACTACAATACCGACCGAGTTCGCAAGTATCGATGCAAATAGGCATCTATGAGCGATATAGAATTTCGCAATGAAAGGGATAGGCACTAAAAACGCAGGCATCCTATAGGATAGCATAACCCAGCATAGCCCTGCCTAACCTATCCCAGCGAACACTAAAATAGCATCATATAGCAACACCATATATGTATATATATTGGCTCGCAAGCATCTAAGCACGGGGGCGCGACATTAAGAACCCCATTACATTATCTTTGTTCGATGGCCTCAAGATGGCCCCAAGAGGCCCCCAAGAGGCGGGCCTCAAGATAGCCCCAAACGCTTCCAAAATGGCCCCCAAAAGACCCCAACAGGGCCTCAAGAAGGCCCCACGATGGCCCCAAGATGCCTCTCAGGAGCCCCCAGAACGTGACTGTGTGCTGCTGCATCCCTGATCAGGGCAATTCGCCTGATGACTGTTTCTTGGACGGGCTGGTAGGGATACGCGAAGCGTCAGAACTGCAACATCGCGAGAGACGGTAGAGGGAAACGATTACTGAACACTCCCCCTCCCCCAAAACTCAACGTTGGCACGCGCGGGGGAGACGGCGGTCGAAGTGCATCTCATCAGACCCACCGCCAACTTTGAACATTGGGGGGAGGGGGAGGCGTTGACGGATAAATGTGGCATGTGTTCGCTAATTTGTTCCGAGGCCTGGATCACGACCAAACCCATGGACTCTAAACCCCATCTTTCGGCTGCATTTTTCAAGCGGGATCGAGCCTCGCAGGCCCGAAGCTGAGCGGAAAAACGCCCCGTGCGAAAAAAAATGCAACACCAGGATCTCAGGGGGAACGCCTTCGGTCCCAGACACCCGGCCACTCCAATTTTGTCGGTGCGTGGGCCCTGGAGGTCTGGACCACTTCCCAGGGGCTGGTTTTCGTCCTAAGTCGTTGTTTGACAATCCCGAGACCCAGCGAGGGCCCCCGGAGGCCGAAAAAAGCAAAAACATCCCGTCGTGACTTGTTCACGACGCGAGAGGGTCCGAAGAATCGGAAATCAGAAATCAGGAAAACGGCCCAAAAACCGGCCGCTCCCATTTTCTGTCGGATAAGTATCGGGGTCGTGACCTCTCCGCGACGCGAGGAGGCCCTATGAGGCCTGTGCTGCCCCTGCCCGGCCCCGTGGTGCCCGTGCCCAGGAGCGCCCGGAATCGCATCGGCAAGCTGGATCGTCGAAACGAATCGGATCGGCGGAACCCAGACCTCCTCGCGTTGTGGAAAAAATCACGACAGGAGGTTCTTCGCTGTTTTCGGCCTCTAGGGTCCCTTCCCGGGCCTGGGGGCCGTCAAAAATTTCACTCGGGATGAAAAACCAATCCTTGGGGAAGGGTCCAGATCTCGGGGCATCGATTTTGTGAAAAAAGTCACGACGTCGGGGGTCTGGGGAAATCGGCAGCCAAGTCGGGAGAAGTCGAATCAGCGCAGACCGGCGGGCGAAACCAGAAGACCCTCAGCTTGAGAAGCCGAATCGAAGCGGAATCCGGGTCGATTAGAATCGAGTCGGAAGAGTCGTGGCGAGCCCTGCGTGCCCCGGCCACGAGCGGCCGTTCCTGGGCGGCGGCGGTGGCCCAGGCTGGACGCGGTCTGGCGCCGGCGACGTGGAACCCAGGCGCGCGGCACCGGACGCCGGCGGCGCTGGGCCTGCCCGCGCGGAGCTGCGGGGCAGCGGCGTGGCGCCAAGCCGCAGGTGGTCCGGCGCGGGCGCCGGCGCGCCGGGCCGCGAGGAGGACCGCAGGGGCGGCGCCGGCCCTGGGTGCGCACGGTCCGGCGCGGGCGGCGCTGGGCCACAGCGCCCCAGGCCAGAGGGCGGCGGCGGCGGGCCGGCGCGCGTGGGGCTGCGCGGCGGGGGCGCGGGGCCCGAGTGCAGGGGGTCGGGCGCGGGCGCAGTGGGGCCAGGCCGCGCCGGTGACCGCGGCGGCAGAGGCGAGCCTGGGTGCGTGAGCTCCGTCGCCGGCGGCGAGGACACGGGGCCAGGGCGCGCCAGGCCGGACGGTGGCACCGTCGGCCCCATCCGCGCGGGGCAGCGCGGCGGCGCTGGCGGGCCCGGGTGGAGGTGGTCGGGCGCTGGCGCGGGCGCGCCCAGGCGTGCCAGCGACCTTGGCGGCGCAGGCGAGCCAGGCGCCGCGAGGTCCAGCGCCAGTGGCGTCGGGCCCGGGCGGGCCGTGCCAGACAGCAGCGGCGCAGGCCCAGCGCGGCAGAGTCCCCGAGGCAGCGGCGGAGGGCCTGCGCGCGGGGCGGCGAGGCGGCGGCGAAGCGGCGGAGCGGCGGAGCGGCGGCGGAGTGGCGGCGGGGGCGGCGAACGAGAGGCGGCGAACGCGAGACGGCGGCGAAAGCGAGGCGGCGGCGGCGAGGAGGCGGCGGCGGCGGAGGCGGCGGCGGCGCTGGAGGCTAGGCCAGGCGGCGGAGGCGAGGAGGTGGCGACGGCCAGCCGCGGCCGAAACGGCAGCGGGGAAGAGTCGGGGGCCGAGGGCGCTGACACTGCTGGCCGAACGTCAGACAGCCACGCGCAACACCATCTCGGTGAACACCTGTGATGCGGAATGGCATCGGGCATCTCCGCGAGACAAGCTCGCATGGCTGGTCTGACAACTATTCGCAGCGCAAGAGCTCAATTGAAAGTGCTTACCGTAGAACACCTCAGGTGCCGTCTGAATCGCTGCCAGCCGAGCCGAACTTCGATTGGTGACGAAACCATGCACTTCAAATGCGCACGCCGCTCGGAACCGAAAACCCGCTCGTTCTTCCACCCCCGCCAGGATTTCCCACCAATCCAGCAAGGGAGGAGAAAGGGGGGGGACGAAAAACAGTTCGGGGTGCAGGCTGGGACGGACCTTCCGATCAAGAAGACGCTGCGAGGCGGCCCTCTCGATCTACCCAGGGCCATCGGCCAGCCAGAGGCACGTGGCGAGCAGGAGGCCGAAACAGCAGCGGGGTGCGCACGGCTTCGGGCGCGACGTGAGCCAGCGCGGGGAGGGAGGGGGGGGGGGGGGCAGCGGGCAGGGGGCCCAAACGTTCGTGGAGCTGCGGGCGGGAGGCCCAGGAGATGAGGAGCACCGCTCGCCCTAGGGCACGCAGAGACCCTGAGGCCCGAGATCCGACCTCGTGAGAGAGATCGTTCCCCCGGCAACGCACCCTGGTATTGGAGGCTTGGAAATGGGCACCAACACCAACACCAACACAGGGGGTTGCCTCCACCAGGGGAATATGATCCTAGATTATGGTGTTGGTGCTAATATTTCGGCCACCTAGGAAACCTGAATATTGCCACCACACCCGAGATCGGGATCATCTTTTCTCGGTGGAGGCACGCCGCCGATATTGGTGTTGGTGCCAACCTCTAGGCATGCGATAATGGCAGCAACACACAGCAAGGTGCACCTCAATGCATGCGTTTCCAAGATCGTGGCCGTCAGGACCAAGAATACGCATCAAAAAACGAGAACTCGATTCCTGAGTAAAGTTCGGGCGTTGAAGGACTGGACCTGGTTTAGTGATGCGCACCAGGGGACGACCCCCCGCCCTATTCCATTAACCCAGAACTGCCGTCACCCGAACAATGCCAGCTACGGCAGACTTGGTTTAGTGATTAAAATACTTTTACGTCGGTTTCGGGGCCCAATCACTAACAGGCTTCCCTTACCGAGAGTCCTGGCTGTTTTGGCACTCGACCATGCCAACACACTCACGCCACGGCCCGTCGTCAGCGGCTGCGCGCTGAGACAGGCGAAAACGAACACACGCAAAGACAAGAAGACCGTTAGGCAATGCTGCTGGCATGCCACACAAAGCAGCGGTCCGGAATTGCGGTACAAGGCAGTGCACAGAGTGGCTAGGCAGCGGCACCGACAACGGAAGCCAACTCAGGGTCCTGGCTATGTCGGGAAATTGTGGAGGTCTCTGGCGAGACGGCTGCCGGTTCGGGCGTGCTCGGGCATCCCGTCCCTCCCGTAGGGGCTCTTCTGAGGTCCTTTTCTATGCTAGCACGAAAGCTGTCTGACGACACGCTTGTAGGGAACAATCAGAGCCCCAGACTCGGTGGTTCACAGATGGGGTCCTAAGAGATGGGGCCAAATGCAGGAAGGGATCCAAGGGTGGATTTACATTGTTTGAGGCACCTTGTCCTGAGGTCCCCATCCCTCGGGGCCCCATCTTTTAACCACCGATACATCATATCATTCTGCGGCAACTTCTGAGGATCGGATCGATCAGTGATAGCCCCGCGGCCCGAAACCCGGCGACAAAACCCGGCGTGAAAGGCTCGCAACGCCCTGATCTCAAGGGCGGAAAACCGCGTATGGCACAGAGAGGGCCCAGGAGCTGGTTGGCACTGCGCGAGACACCAGAGGCAGGAGAGCCCAGAATCGAATCGATAAGTCGGATCGGAGATCGAAATGGATCGGATCGGCGGAAATCGGCAGCCGAGTCGGAAACAGTCGAATCCGCAGAAATCGGCAGAGTAGCAAGTCTCCGTTGAGAAATGGGAGCCCAAATCGGAACCCGAAGCCGAATCGAATCGTAATCGGAAGCCATCGAAGTCGAATCGAATCGAACCAGAGGAATCGAAACGAGCCCTGGCCAGTGGTTCGACCGCGGCAGGCGAGGGACGAAGAGGAGGGCGGACGTACTGGCAAGCAGCGGGCCAGAAGGTGGGAGCTGCCTCGCCGCGGAGGCGCAGCTGCGGCAAGAGGGACGCTCACGAGCGGCGAACGCGTCCACGCCCACGCACTCGCAGTCCGGCTTCCGGGGCGCGATCCCGTGGACACGCGGTCGCACAGAGGCGTTCCGCGCGGGGCACCCGCGGAAACACTCTCGCCTCTCACGGGTCGCGGTCCAGGAGCCTGTGGATACCAGAGACCGCAAGGGGGGGCCTGTCGAGAGGTGAAGCTGGTGCCGAACACACAAGAAGTCACACGGCGCGGGCGCCTGGGCCCAGGAGGTCCAGCGCAGGCGGGCTGCTGCCAGTGCGCGAGGAGGCCTGGCGCGCGGGGGGGGGGCTGGAGGGCATGGTGCCCTCGCCTCACTCCCATCGTTGAGGGCTTGACGACTCCTGCTGTCCCTCGACTCGCGCTGAAACGTCTGCGAGGCCCCAAGATCTTCCAGGAGACCTCTGGATTCGCGTCGATGTGAGCGACGGAAAGGAACGGGTCTTCCGCCTTACGAGAGATGGCATAGCGACGCGGCCCTGCGCAGTGACTTACGCGGGCCGCCATCGTGGCACGCAACATTGGAGACGAGGGCGCTCACGCGCGACCCTGCGCGGGCAGCTTGCGCGCCAATGTCGGCGCAGGCGCCTCCATCTTCTTCCGTCGCTCACGTGGCTTTCCCTCGGTGTACCCACGCTTTCCCCGATGCGTACGCTTTGCGCCGCAAGTAGATGGGAAACTTCTTCTAACCCGGGTCAATCCAGACCCGGGTCAGTCAGCCCTTGCAGAATCCTGCAAGATCCTGCAAGGTTCTGCACCCAAATCCGGGTCAGTGCGAAGGATCCCGCACGATCCTGCAGGATCCTGCACCCAAACCCAGGTCAATGCGACCCTGGCCCTGCAGGATCCTGCAAGATCGGGCGCTCTGGCTGACCCCCGTTTGCCTTGACCCCCGTCTCTGAATATCGTTTATCCGATCCCCATCCCCAGCGGCGTGGCCTGGGCCCCACTGGCCGAGTTACCCCCCTGGACGGGCATATAGGCCGTCCCCTTCGGGTTTCGAGGGGTGTATCCCCAACAGGGGCGGTAATTTGGTGAGGGTCTGATAGGGGATGGGGATGGGGATGGGGATGGGGGTCGGATAAACGATACTGAGTCTCAAGGCTCCCGAGGGAGACGAGTCGCTCAGCTCCCAAGGGGCCCCGCGCCATCCGACGAAGAGTTGCGAGCGGCACCAGCGTCGACCTTCCAGAGGCCCGCGCGGATTTCCAGAGGTCTGGCGCTGGACCCCCGTCCCCGGGCGAGCGCGAGACGCGCAGAGGGCAGTGCTGGAGGGCATACTCAAATAATTCGCCGGCCCAACGGGCCAGAGGCGTGCTAAGATCTCCGGTAACTGGTAAACAGTATTTCTGGTTCGCGCGCGCGGGGCGGCCCCTGGGGGTCCCTGTATCAAAAGTAACCCGAGAGGAGCCCGGGACACGCCCAGGACACGCCCGGGACATTCCCCCGGATCCTCCAGGATCGCCCCAAGAGGGCCCCAAGAGGCCCCCAACACAATCCAAGAGAGGTCCGAGACGCCGAAGATCGCTCCACGGCGCCCAAGATGGCCTCCAGACGGCCCAAGAGGTCTCCAAGATGACCCAACAAGCCTCCAAGATGCCCCAAGAGGCCTCCAGGAGAACTCCCAAGAGGGCCCCTAAGAGGCAACAATCAATGCTTTTTCTTAGGTGTTGGACAGATTTGGGCGTTTCAACCTTTTCGGTTCCCCGACGCCCCTAAACGGCTCAAGAGGCCTCCAAGATCGCCCCAAGAGGGCCCAAGAGGCCTTCAAAAGGGCCCCAAGACGGCCCAAGACGGCTCCAAGACGGCCCCAGAGGCCTCCAAGACGGCCCAAGAGGGCCCCAAGAACGCCCCCAACACGGTCCAAGAGAGGTCCGAGACGCCCGAAGATCGCTCCACGACGCCTAAGATGGCCTCCGGACGGCCCAAGAGGTCTCCAAGATGGCCCAAGAAGCCTCCAAGATGCCCCAAGAGGCCTCCAAGAGAACTCCCAAGAGGGCCCCAAGAGGCAAAAAACTGTGTTTTTCCTTTGGTGTTGGACAGATTTGGGCGTTTTAACCTTTTCGGTTCCCCGACGCCCCTAAACGGCTCAAGAGGCCTCCAAGATCACCCCAAGAGGGCCCAAGAGGCCCCCAAGAGCCCCCTAAGAGGCCCCAGGGGAGCCCAAGACGCCGCCAAGGAGCCCCAAAACGCTCCCAAGAAGCCCCCAAGAGGCCCCCAAGACGGCCCCAAGAGGCCCCAAATAGCGCTCCGGGGACGGCGGAATGAGCGAAGCGATTAAATAACCAAATTATCCCGGCAAAGCAACCTAACATCGATGTGTAGGAGCATATCTGGAAGCATTCCCCTTAAGATTCGGATGAGAATCCAGTTGTAGAATTCTGCTGTTCTCGCAGTCGTAGTCGTAGTTCTGTTCAGCCTCAGCCTGCTTCAGCCTCAGCATCAGTCTGCCTTCAGCCTCGGCCTCAGCCTCAGCCTGCCTCAGCCTCAGCCTGCATCAGCCTCAGCCTCAGCCTCAGCCTGCCTCAGCATCAGCCTGCCTCAGCCTCAGCCTGCTTCAGCCTCAGCCTCAGCCTCAGCCTCAGCCTCAGCCTCAGCCTCAGCCTCAGTCTGCCTTCAGCCTCGGCCTCAGCCTCAGCCTGCCTCAGCCTCAGCCTGCATCCTCAGCCTCAGCCTCAGCCTGCCTCAGCATCAGCCTGCCTCAGCCTCAGCCTCAGCCTGCCTCAGCCTCAGCCTCAGCCTGCTTCAGCCTCAGCCTCAGTCTGCCTTCAGCCTCGGCCTCGCCTCAGCCTGCCTCAGCCTCAGCCTGCATCAGCCTCAGCCTCAGCCTCAGCCTCAGCCTCAGCCTCAGCCTGCCTCAGCCAGCCTGCCTCAGCCTCAGCCTCAGCCTGCCTCAGCCTCAGCCTCAGCCTGCTTCAGCCTCAGCCTCAGTCTGCCTTCAGCCTCGGCCTCAGCCTCAGCCTGCCTCAGCCTCAGCCTGCATCAGCCTCAGCCTCAGCCTCAGCCTGCCTCAGCATCAGCCTGCCTCAGCCTCAGCCTCAGCCTGCCTCAGCCTCAGCCTGCTCAGCCTCAGCCTCAGTCTGCCTTCAGCCTCGGCCTCAGCCTGCCTCAGCCTCAGCCTGCATCAGCCTCAGCCTCAGCCTCAGCCTGCCTCAGCCTCAGCCTCAGCCTCAGCCTCAGCCTCAGCCTCAGCCTCAGCCTGCAGCCTCAGCCTCAGCCTCAGCCTCAGCCTCAGCCTCAGCCTCAGCCTCAGCCTCAGCCTCAGCCTCAGCCTCAGCCTTCAGCCTCAGCCTCAGCCTGCCTCAGCCTCAGCCTGCATCAGCCTCAGCCTCAGCCTCAGCCTGCATCAGCCTGCCTCAGCCTCAGCCTCAGCCTGCCTCAGCCTCAGCCTCAGCCTGCTTCAGCCTCAGCCTCAGCCTGCAGCCTTCAGCCTCAGCCTCGCCTCAGCCTCAGCCTGCCTCAGCCTCAGCCTGCATCAGCCTCAGCCTCAGCCTCAGCCTGCCTCAGCATCAGCCTGCCTCAGCCTCAGCCTCAGCCTGCCTCAGCCTCAGCCTCAGCCTCAGCCTCAGCCTCAGCCTCAGCCAAAGCCTCAGTCTGCCTTCAGCCTTGGCCTCAGCCTCAGCCTCAGCCTGCCTCAGCCTCAGCCTGCATCAGCCTCAGCCTCAGCCTCAGCCTGCCTCAGCATCAGCCTGCCTCAGCCTCAGCCTCAGCCTGCCTCAGCCTCAGCCTCAGCCTGCTTCAGCCTCAGCCTCAGTCTGCCTTCAGCCTCGGCCTCAGCCTCAGCCTGCCTCAGCCTCAGCCTGCCTCAGCCTCAGCATCAGCCTGCCTCAGCATTCAAAATGTGGCCCGGGAATGGAGTTCTGGGAACTCGAAGAACACGAAGTGGCCTACAGTTGGCTCCGGGCATTCAAAATCATGCCCAGGAATGGAGTTCTGGGAACTCGAAGATCACGAAGTGGCCTACAGTTGGCTCGGGCATTCAAAATGTGGCCCGGGAATGGAGTTCTGGGAACTCGAAGAGCACGAAGTGGCCTACAGTTGGCTCCGGGCATCCAAAATGTGGCCCGGGAATGGAGTTCTGGGAAGTCGAAGAGCACGAAGTGGCCTACAGTTGGCTCCGGGCATCCAAAATGTGGCCCGGGAATGGAGTTCTGGGGTGTCAAGTACGAGGAATTGTATGACTGTTGCGTCCGGCTATTCCGAATGTGGCCCGGGAATGGCGTTCTGGGAGGTCAAGGAGCACCAAGTGTGTGACTGTTGCATCCGGTTATTCAGAATGTGGCCTGGGAATGGGGTTCTGAGAGGTCGACGAGCACGAAGTGTGTGACTGTTGGTGAAAAACGAGCCCGGCACAGGCCCGGCCGGCAACTCCCAACGCCTGCCCGGACCCCCCTGTGGAGTGATCTGTGAGCTCTTTTGAGTCAACTAGAAAACTATCAGTCTACGCTGTTAGGTAAAAATGTGACGAACAAAAAAATCGTCCCCAGGCTATATTCTCAGTATTTTGGAATGTTCCTCCTGTAGAGGGACAGGCCAGGCTTGAACCTGGCTCCCCGACCCAACGCCGACAGCCGACCGTCCTCGGGCGCACTCTGGCCAGGACCTCGAGGCGGATCCGGCCGCGGCGGCGAGCATGCCTCGAGAGGCCCCCAACAAGGCATCAAAGCGCCCACCAAGGGCCGCGAACCTGGATAAGGCCAACGACGGGGGAGGACCCGCCCAGGGTGAGGACATGGACCCGGACGTCCGGCCGCTCCGATTTTTTCGGCGCGCGGGCCCCATGCCAAGAGGTCTGGACCACTTCCCCTGGGCCGGCGTGTCGTCCTACCGGCCGCTCCCACTTTTTCGGAGCGCCGGATGTCTGGGAGCTCGACACGGCGATGCTTCGCCGATCGATCGGCGATGGGCCCCTTGATGGCGCCACGCCGCTGCGTCCACGAGCAGAAGCGCCAAGCGCCGAGCGCCGACAGCGGCGAGCCGCCGGCGCCGTATCGGGTGCGCCGAGGAGGGGGGCCGGGAAGAGGGACGCACGCCAGCGCGCGCGCCCGCACGCCAGGGTCCTCACCCGCGGGCAGCAGCGCCCTCCTCTTCGGCGCACCCGATACGGCCCACCCGAAGTCAGCGGCGGATACGACCCACCCGAAGATCGCAGGGTACACCGGTGCGGACGCACGCCAGCGCGCGCGCCCGCACGCGCGCCCGCACATTTTAAGTCAGCGGCGCAAGGGGTACTCAAGCGCGGGCAGCAGATGAAGGTGCTGATTTAGAGGCCTCCCAAATGGGGTCCGAGTAAGTGGGGGGGGTCGGAGGATTCGCTGCATCGCCGATACATCGGAGGTACATCGCCGATGCATCGGCGATGCATCGGCGGCACGTCGGCGTCGTCGGCGTGGAGATGGGGCTTCACATCGAGCCGCATCGCCGTGCATCGGCGATGCGGCGCGATCCTCCGACCCCATGTACTCCGACCCCACCTATACCTGGACCATTGCGATCAAGCACTGTCGACGGCAAAGTGTACGAGACGGCGAACACTGTAAAGTGCACGAGACGGCAAAGTGCACGAGACGGCGCACACTGTAAACTGCACGCGCGCGCCCGCACACGCAAGCGCGCGTGGGCTCGCGCAGGCGGGCGCGGTGGCGCGCGGGCGCGCGCGCGCTTGCGCGCGCGTGGGGGTTGTCGCGTGCGTCGTGGCCCGAGGCAGGCGCGCGGACGAGGCGGGGCACCGGAGACGCGCTGGAAGAAGAAGGCCCAGACGTGCAACGTTCAGACAGAAACCACGACGAAAGGTTCTTGGCCGTGCTCGGCCCCTGGAGGCCCTTACGGGGCCCCAGCACCGTCAAAAAACGACTCGGACCGAAAAGCCGGCCTTGAGGAGGGGGAGGTCGGGACTTCCGCAGAGTCCGCACTAAGAGGTGAGAACCTCGCCTGTCTGGGGAGGGGACAGTGACATCCGGGGAGGCTTCGTGGCCCGGCCATGGCATCCCCCCATCGAGTCATCAACCCCCTCGAACACAAAGACGACGACGACGCCGACGACGACGACGACAGACGACAGACGACGGACGACAGGCGACGGACGACAGGCGACAAACGACAGACGACGACGACGACGACGACAGACGCCAGACGACAGACGACAGACGATGACAACGACGACGATGACATTAGGGAACCCACGAAAGGACACACGCGCCCAACCACGTACATGAAAACGGCCCACCAGGCCGCGAGACCAACCTCGTGTTACGAACGCTCGCGCAATGCGAACCTTCGAAGCCAGCGCGGATCCATGTACGTGTACGTCCTTCTTTCGCTCCTGGGACAAACTCGGGGATCTACTGACCCAGGTCAATCCAGACCCGGATCAGTCAGGCCTTGCAAGATCCTGCAAGATCCTGCAGGATCCTGCACCCAAAACCGGGTCAGTCCACCCCTGGCCCTGCAGGATCTTGCCAGATCCGGCGCTCGGGCTCACCCCCGTTTACATTGACCCCAGTCTCCAGACCCTCGACGTCATGATTATTTAAGACCAGAGGTCTCGACCCCCATTCCCTGGGGCCGCTCTCTCTCGTCCTGGGTCGTTTTCTGACGGTCCCGAGGCTCAGCGAGGTCCTCCAGAGGCCCCCCCCCAAAAAAATACCGTCGTGATTTCTTAAGCCCCGACAGACGGCGCCCCCTCCTCCTCCTCCTCCTCCTCCTCCTCCCCCTCCCCCTCCCCCTCCCACTCCGCCTCCTCCTCCTTCTCCTCCTCCTCCTCCTCCTCCTCCTCCACAATTATTCAATATGAATACTACTTCCTTCCCCTGATGACGGAATGGGAGTAGCCGACCCCCCCGCGTACTTCTTTTTAGACACAGGTTTCCCCGGAGTTGGGTTTTCGCCTGCATTTGTTTCAAAACTCTCGCTGAGGCGCCGGCCTCATTTTCGGGCCGCGTTCGTTCCGAATCGTGCTCCCGCTGCAGCGCTGGCCTCATTTCCGCCGGCGCCTGGGCTGCACGCCCGAGCCGGCGCCCAGGCAAGCGCTCGGGCCGCTGGGTCCAGAGCCGGTTCCGGCCGCCCCCGGAAAATGGAGTTCCGAGGCGGCGCACAAAAAAAAGCCATTCTAGTACAGATTTTTCTTTTGAAAATGCTAAATTTCTGCTTCTGGCGCCCGGGAGGGCCGATTCCGACGCCCGGGCCGGCGCCCGAGCCGGCGCCCGGGCCGGACGCCCGAGCTGGCGCCCGGGCTGGCGCCCGGGCCGGGTCCGGAGCTGGTTCCGGCCGGCGCCGGAAAATCGAGTTCCGAGGCGGCGCCGAAAAAAGGCCATTCTAATATACATTTTTCTTTTGAGAATTTTCAAATTCTGCTTCCGGCGCCCGGGGGCCTCCCGGGCCGATTCCGACGCCCGGGCCGGCGCCCGAGCCGGCGCCCGGGCCAGACGCCCGACCCTAGTGTACGTAACCAAATCATATGGTTACGCTCGAAACTGTTGCGCGTAACCAAAACGCGAAGAATTTGGTGACGATCGCCCCCTCACACACTTGAGCCATCAAAATGCATTCAACATCCCCGTAACCAAAATCTTCCCGGAAAAATGTTCGCATAACCAAATCGTAACCATATTTTCAATTTTCGTAACCAAATAATAACCAAATTGCACAAATCGTAACCAAAGCATGACGAAATCGTAACCAACTCATACAAAAAAAAATAACCAAACCGTAAGTATATCGAAACGACCATGTTCGACATTGCCGATGGGGCTGAAGATGGGGACGGGCGGAGCAGGGGGGAGTCTGCCAAACTGGTAGAGCAGGAGAAGGAGGAATAGGAGGAGGAGGAGGAGGAGGAGGAAGAGAAGGAGGACGGAAGCACGGTGAGAGCACGACGGCTCAGGAGTAATGTTGACGCATTGATGGTTCGACGCGGGGTTTGAAGATCAGAGGGAGGAGGCTTGGAAGAAGAATTTGAGGGAGGCCGAAGCAGACGGGGGACAGAATGAGGCTTGCAGGAAGTATCACAGGAATGGCAGGGCAGGAGGAGGCTTGGAGGGGAGGGGGCAGCTTGGAGAGGGAGGCTCTGAAGAAGGACTAGGTGCGGGGATACATGATTGAAACTTGGCGGTGCTAGGGGGGAGAAAGAAGAATATGAGGAGTGTGGATTTCAAAGAGGCGACTTACGCGGGGGGTCTGCACGGAAGAGGCATAAGATATGATGGAGGGCTCTGTTTGGGTGGGTGTTAGACCCGTGGGGACAAGCTCGGATCAATGTTTGACGAGAGGGCTCTGGCACGGGGTAGGGGCGGCGAGACATCGGAGAGGTTCGGAGGGAGGAAGGAGGGAATCACGATGTAAGACGGCGTGTGTACGGACAGGCCCACCAGGGATAGGCTCCACCAGGGATGGGCCATGGGCTGGTCAAGCCATGGGCCACGACGGACCGCGTTAAGCCAAATCGTAACCAAATCGTAACCAAATCGTAACCTCATGGAAACGTAACCAAATCGTAACCAAATTTGATATAGCGTAACCAAATCGTAACCAAATTTAATGTTTTCATCACCGAATCATAACCAAATCACACTTCGTAATCAAATTGCGCGCAACCAAATCAAAACAATGCACCCCTCTCATACAAACTTGCCTCAATAAGAAGTCGATTTGGTTACGCACGTGCACGCAACAAACCATGGTAAATTACAATACTTTGGGCGCGTGATTTGGTTACGATGTCTTGTCTTCTAGGGGAGCCGGCGCCCGGAACGGCGCCCGGGCCGGGTCCGGAGCCGGTTCCGGCCGTCGCTGGAAAATCGAGTTCCGAGGCGGCGCCGAAAAAAGGCCATTCCAATACACATTTTTCTTTTGAAAATGCTGAATTTCTGCTTCTGGCGCCCGGGAAGCCTCCCGGGCCGATTCTGGCGTGCTTCCGCTCGTTCCGAATCGTGCTCCCCCCGCTGCAGCGCTGGCCTCATTTCCGCGCTTCCGCTCGTTTCGACTCGTGCTCCCGCTGCAGCGCAGGCGTCATTTCCCGTGCCATGCCACCGCATGCAATGCAATGCTAGGTTGATACTACTCTTCGCGGTGCTCGTCTACGCCATGCCATGCCGTGCTCTACAATGCAACGCGTACCCTTTCGGGATCATTGGCCTGCTCGACATCCGACTGTGCGAGTAGAGAGGGGATCTGCGCCATGGTAAGGGATGGGAGGGAGGGGTAGGATGTCAGATATGACGCGAGCGCACCTAGCTTGTCCCCCTCCCCCTCCCCCATTTCCCTCCTCCCCCTCCTCCTTCTCCTCCTCCTCCCCCTCCTCCTTCTCCTCCTCTGCCTCCTCCTCCGCCTCCTCGGCATCGATCCGTCACCGACGGCCGCGGCCCCCCGCCGCGGGGGGCGCCCGGGCGGCGCTCCTTCGGCGGCGTCGGGGCGCCCAGGTGTACCGCGTCCGGCGCCGAGGTCGGCGGGCTCGGCCGCGAGGGGCTCCGCGGCTGGGCGTCGCGGGGGGCGGCGGCGGCCGCCGCCGCCGCCGCTGCAACGTCGCAGCTGCCGCAGTCAAACGCACAGCGTCGGCGACGACGTCGACGACGACGACGAGGACAAGGAGGAGGACGAGGACGAGGAGAAGAAGGACGAGGACTAGGACGAGGACGACGACGACAACGACGACGACGACGAAGACGACGACGACGGCGGCGACGGCGGCGGCGGCGGCAGCGGCGGCGGCGGCGGCGGCGGCCTCCCCCCTCGTCGCGACCCAAATCACTAGAGGCCTCCCAGATGGGGTCGGAGTAGGTGCATCGGCAACGTCGGAGGTGCATCGGCGACGCTGACGTGGAGAGACCCTGGCTCCAAATCGAGCCGCGTGGGCGATGCAACGGCGATGCATCGGCGATGCGGCGCGATCCTCCGACCCCATCTACTCCGATCCCATCTGGGAGGCCTAGAATCAGGGCCGTCGCTGCCACCGTCGGCACTTGCACGACGACACGGGCTCCTTTGTCTCGACCAGAATCACGACGGGGATCTCTTGGCGATCTTCGGTCTGCGAAGCCGTCGAAAAAACAGCACGGGATGAAACATCGGTCCCGGGCAAGGGGGTTCAGACCTCGGGACACGATTTTGCCCAACATCAGGGCAGCCTCGAACTGGTGCGTACATAAGAATATGTAATCCCTGGCTACTCAAGCCTCCGTCCCTCAGTCGCCCTCCTCCGTTTCCTTCGACATTCAATAACGCCTCTCACACTTCCCTGCTCCCTCTGACAGTTCGGCACGCAAGTTCGCGAACCCAACGCACCGAAGGCGGCGGGCCGAGTTGAACGTAATCCAGCACCAGCGGCGAGGGACCTTCGCGGGAGGGCCCCCACTGCTCCGCTGTTTTCCTGCTAGGATAAGGAACTGGGTGAGGGGACGATGGTGAGCACATGAGCAACAAAAGAAACGGGCCCCACGCGAGAAGAACTAGCGACGTTACGCCGCGGCTTCCGCGGGCCGCCAGCGCGGCAAGCTACAGTGAAAACGAGAGGGCGCTTGCGCGCCATCTTACGCAGGCAACTTACGCGCGGATGTCCACATGCTATCCCGTTGCGCACTTGCAGGTCAACGACGACGGCCCTGGTGAATGACTCGCCCTGGAAGAATGGGTGGCCCCAGTCGATGCTTTTCGCCGGGCACTTGCCGCAACACAGCTGCGGGTAGGAGGGGAGGAGGAGAGGGGAGGAGAGGAGACGGCCGAGACGGCGGAGGAGGCGAGGGGAGGAGGAGAGGGGAGGAGGAGAGGAGATGGGAAGGGGGGGAGGGGGAGAGGGGAGGAGAAGAGGGGAGACGGCCGAGAGGGGATGAGGTTTTCTATACCCCAAACCAGGGTTCGGGCAGCGGTGCCCATATTTCTGCCGTGGGCTGGGCCGCGGCTCGAGCAATCATGCCGTCTCGGAGGCTCCTGCAACCAGGGCAGACGACAAGGAGGAGGGGGGAGGGCGAGGGGAGATTGGAGGGGAAGGTCGAGGAGGAAGAGGAGGAGGAGGAGGATGAGGACGAGGAGGAGGAGGAGGGGGAGGGGGGAGGGGGTGGGGAGATTGTGGGAAGGAGGAGAAAGGGGAGGGGTAGAGGAGGAGAGGCACTAGAACCGATCGCTGAGCCCCCGAGACGGCACGGCAGAGCTGCGCCCCCTCCGCCACCGACTGCGGCCCGCATCCCCTGCCGAGCCCCGACGCCGTGATGATTTCACCGCTCCAGATGCGCCGAGATTGCCAAGAGACGGACATCGCCCGTCGCGATTCCTTCGCGACGCCTGCAGGTGTGGTGTAAGGGGGGCCTCTGGAGGCCCAGAGAGAAGCCAGAAGCGCCCTGAGACCTCGCTCCTCTGCTCGCTCCTCGATCCTGACCTCAATCCTCGATTCTGGTCAATCATCTTCCTTCGCTCCCGCCTTCCACTCAGAAAACCAAAACAGACCGCACAACCAAACAAAACGTTCTGACATCCAGAAACCTCTGAACCTCGATCGACAATCGATGCTGACGATCAGATCCCCTCCCTCCAGCCCCCCCCCACTGATGCCAGCGACCCGCACACACCAGATATCGCGCCTGTCTTCCAAACGGGGTCCTCAGAAGAGTCGACGCACCCCTTGCCCAGGGCTGGCTGCTCACCCGAGCAATCTCTTGACGCCTCGGAACGGCACAGCACAGGCCAGAAGTGAACGAAACCGATTTCCAAGAATCCTGCGCGGACCTCGGACGAACCTGCAGCGCGGTCGTGAAATGTTGGATGACCTGTCTTCTTCGCGGGCCACTTTGGCATGAAACGAACGAGTCCTGAGGAAAACGGGTCCTGGACCCCCAGGCCCGAGCCCCAGGACCTGATGAAGAAAGTCCTGGTGGCCTCGCGCGGCAACTTGAGACCCGATGTACGTCGGAACTGCGTCGGTTAACGTCGGGGTCACGTCGGATTGCCTCGGATGTAACTCGGATTCACTTCGGATTTTCGCCAGCGCATCGCCTCGCGAACGTCGACCACTATTTTAGGGGCCGGACGCGTGGACCAGAGAATACAACCATTGCGCGCCGCGCGAGGCCTCCTGGATTTTCCGCATGGAAGACAAGTTTTTCGTCCTGAATCGTTTCCGAACTTGGCGGCGAGCAATGGGGGGAAGTCAGAAGGGGCGAGCCTTTCAAAAGGCTCGGAAGGCGTCCAGCCTTCTGAGAAATGTTCTAAGCCTTCCCTAAAGTTTCCTGAGCTCGGAAGGCGCGAGGGGTTCTGAGAACCCCGCCGCTTTCTGAGAAGGCCGTCTCCTTCTCGTTTCCCCTCCCTCGCTCGCCGCCGACAGAAGCCCGTGGGGGACCCCAGGGAAGCAA